TACTTTTAACCCTGCCGCTCTGCTCACTGCAGTGAGAGACTAGGCGGCGGAGCACGGAGGACAGAACCAGAGGAGAGAGGAAAGTGCAGGGGGGAGGTGAGGAGGCTGCACACTGTTTATATGTGAACTCTGCGACATCACCGAGTTCACATGTAAACGAAAAATCGTCTTCCCTCGCTCTACATTTAGTCCTGCTTGTACAAAGGACACCGCCCCTCTGCGCCCTGCCGCCCCGAGGCTGGGCCTCGGTGGCCTTGTGGGGAATCCAGGCCTGCATGAGTGCTGCCGGCACTGGGGAGCTACAGTTCATTGAGGAAACCATGAATGCCAACATGTACTGTGACATACTGAAGCAGAGCATGATCCCTTCACTTCGGAGACTGGGCCGCAGGGCTGTATTCCAACATGATAACGACCCCAATCAATCAGTGTCTGCACTGGCTCCCAATTGCCCAACTAATAAAATTAAAATACTAACAACAACATACAAAGCCATCTACAACTCCGCCCCAACCTACATCACCGACCTCATCTCAAAATATCACCCAAACCGTCCTCTCAAGACCTCCTGCCCTCTAATTACCTTCTCCCACTCTCGCCTCCAGGACTTCTCCAGAGTGTCCCACATCCTCTGGAACTCCTTACCCCATTCTGTCCGCCTATCTCCTACGCTGCCCACCATTAGGCGATCCTTAAAAACTCATCTCTTCAGGGAAGCCTATCTCATCTCACCATAACTGCCTGTTACTTCCTCTAATAACTCAATCCAAACAATCATTACCTTTTGTATCATTTGCCCCTCCTACTAGATTGTAAGCTCTCACGAGCCGGGCCCTCCCAACCCTATTGTACTGAAACTGTATTGTATTTTGTATTGTAACTGTACTGTCTCCATTTTGTAAAGCGCTGCGCAAATTCTTGGCGCTATATAAATCCTGTATAATAATAATAATACATTTCTCCAGGTCTTTCCACTGCAAGTGCAGTGCTGGACTTCCTTACTAGATAGCCCAGCATGCACTGCACACTGAAGCGTGCATTAAAAAAGGGCATTATAAAAATGATATAAAATATGTTTTTTTTTAAATGTAAAATAAAATTAATCAAATTAAACCTCCTGCAGTTCACTCGCTGCCGTTCGCTCCTATGCTCATAGGTATTCTCCGAGGTAGTGAGCAGAATTTTTTTTTAAAATGTAAACAAAAGAAGAAAAAAAGTGATAAAAATTATTTAAATAAATGTTTTTAAAAAAATTAAACATTTTTTTAAAGAAAATATTTAAAAAGAAATGTAAGGAGAAAACAGCATGGGGTCCCCCTACCAAACCATACCAGACCCTTTAGGTAGGAAAGTTAGGAGGTACCCCAAGTTAAACATTTTAAAAAAAAGAGTGTGTGGGGTTCCCCCTCAAAGTCATGGCAGGCCCTTTAGGTGTGGTAGGAATTGTAAGGAGGAACCCCACCCCCTAAAATTCCCAACCAGACCCTTGATCCGAGCACAGGCCTGGCAGAAAAGGGGGGGGGGGGCAAGCGAGTGCCCCCCCTCCCTGTCATACCAGGCCACATGCCCTCGGCACTAGAAGGGTGCTTTTCCAGGGTCCCCCCTGGAAAAGCACCTTGTACCTGTGCCGATGGGGACAAGGGCCTCCTCCCCACGAGCCCTGGGGCGTTGGTTGGGGGGTGCGGGCAAGGGGGCTTATTTGCAATGGAGTACCCAGGTGCAGCCCCCCCATTGTGAACGAATAAGGGGGCTTGTACCCCTACACATTCACTAAAGGGTTAAATCAAAATGTAAATAAAGAACTCACAATTTAAAAAAAAATCCTTCATTTGGAAAAAAAAAAACACAACAAAGAATCTCGACAATTAAAAAAAAAAATCTACGACGACTTCGGAAAAAAAAAACGATACCCGCCGACCCAACTTAATGCGACGAACTCCCGCCGCAGAATGAAGAATCTGACAGATGCCAGCAAAATATAAACAACTGGGCGGAGCTAATGGTGACATCAACGCTAGCTCCGCCCAACTGTTGACATTTGTCGGCACCTGTCACATCCCAGACCGGCCGAATCAAAACAAATGGGCAGAGTCTGCCATGAGGTCACGGACAGCTACTCCCATTGTTGTCATGCAGTGACAGCCCAGTATCCTCAAATAACCTGAGGGCGCTGGGCTGTCATTGAATGACAACAACTGGGCGGAGCCAGTCGTGACATCACAGCTGGCTCCTCCCAGTTGTCATTTGCAATGAAAACGGTCTGCTTCGGCTGTGACTACGACTCAGCCGAGCCGAAGCATATGCGCTCGGCTTGGCTGAGCTGCTCGTCTACCTTCGGCTGCTGTAGGGCTATAGTGAGCCGAAGGATCAGCCGAAGCTACGGCAAGAGATCACACGGCCAGGGTTTTGGGGTTTTTTTTGCTCATAAGATGGTAGTCCTAGGCCCAGCTGTGACAGTCAAAATGTCCTAGGCCTATCAATATGCAAGTACTACCTCTCCGCCACTAGATGCCGCTAGTGCAACCAGATTAGGTGCCATTCAGCCCACTTCCTGTGAGCCCAGGTCACCATGGCTGGATCCATGGAAGTACGTCATCACACCGTCAGGGGGTCACAGGAGAATACTGCCAGGGAAGGCGTCATGCATTGACGTGCAGCATCCAGGGTCCACTGGTACCAGTGATGTCACAGACCGAAGACACCCTTTAAAAAATTGATTTTTTTTTTCTTTTAAAGGCATAGTCCACCTTTTGCAAACAAAAGCAGTAAATGCAGCAACACTGATCTCATGATCAACGTGCATTTGTTGCTTTTGTTCAATGAAGCCTGCAGAGCATTGCACGGTTGGTGCATCAGGGGTGCAATACTCAGGCTCTAGTATGTTTTGGCAGACTGTGATTATTAAGCTTCACCACTTCTATTTTATTTCATCCATTTTGTAAGGGCACAACATGCACTTTATACGGATACATGATCACCAGCTCTGTCTGGTCACATGATCTTGCTGAAGACGGACTGCTCCTTTAAGACGCCCTGCAGCACCAGCTCAGCCCGTGACCTGGCTCAACTCCGCAGCCGTGACGTCACCCCGTCCAGGCCCCGCCTCCTCAATCACACACTTCCTTTTTCTTTCACCTCCCAGCCGCCACGCCCACGCCCACTGGTTCCCGGCCGGCCAATCGCGGACCTTAGGCGCCTGTCCTCAGTGCGTCATTCGCCCAATCGGCTGGTGGCTTTGTCCGTAGGTGGGCGGGGAGCAGGGGCGTGTCCTGCCGGGTCGGGAAACAAAGAGAAAAATAGAGGGAGTGTGAAGAAAGGGAGGAAAGGGGAAAAAAAGTGGAGCGGGCGGGCGCCGATTACTGTGCCGGGGGACCCCGCGGGCCAGTGCGGGCGGACAGGTCGATGAGGTGATCTGCAGCCATCCGAAGAAGCGCTCTGACATCGCCATGCCGGGCGGAGGGGTGAGCGCGGCCTCCTGGAGCCCCGAGCTGGAGGAGATCCGGGTGAGGCTGGCGGCGCTGGGCCTTTGGGTGAGTTGGGCACTGGGGGGTAATGACTCTGCCTGGCTTCTTGATTGGCCAGGAAGCCGGCCCCATGCCAGCGGGCGTATCGGTGAGTACCGAGATATAAATACCAGTACTTGATACCGAAAACCTGTACCGGTACATCCCCCAATAACAACCTATCAAAATCCATCATGTAACGCTCCTCTTCAGCATAATGCATTCTGATTGGCTGCTTTGGGTCAGTGGGCGGTCCTTAATAAATAACAATTTGAGTGCTCACCCTGGGAAATGGCCGTTTTCATCTTTTCCCATGATTCAGTTGTCCATCCCCCTTTTTCTCTCTCCTTTTTCTTGTTCCCGGGAGGTTGGACTGAGAGCGCTAGAAATTAGACGCGTGCTGACTACAGTGTATGAAGACCCGGGGCCCGGGGGGACAGGACTACAACGTGAACCTAGAACCTGCATATTCCTGATCCTCGTGGAGATAAATAGAAGACGAGTTCTGGACTACAACTCCCTCAAAGGACAGGGCCCCTCCGTCTGTGATAAAACCACAACTCCCATCATGCCTTTGCCTCTGAGAGTCATGCCTGTAACTGGCAGTCTTGCAATGCCTCATGGGACTTGTAGTTCCGCTGCAGGTGCCCATTCCCATAATGTCTCTTACTACATCGATCTGGTTACATAAAGGAAATTTGTACAATGAGATTGTAATGTGAAGGGGGGTGGGGGGTGCACAATGGTCAGTTGACTTATAGTTCCATATTTGTATCTCCCCCCTCCCCCAATGTGTGTGTTTTCGGCATTAGTAACCATTTCGCTAGTCCTCCAACCTGTAGATTGCGTACGAGGAGACGGCGCCTTAGGGGAAATCTGTCGGGAGATTCATTGATCCCGCGATCCTGAATCACCGACGCAACCTACACTGGCCGTGTGCACGTAGATGTAGAATCATGTGACCCGTCACTGGAAAGTCTAAAACTGATACAATTTTTATTGCTATATAATAATATTTTGGGTATATTGACTATTTCATGGCCAATGGTGAGCCAGGGTTGTAGAAATGATCCGGTGAGAATGAAACGTCTCCAGTTCAGTTGCTTTTCAATAAAAAAAAAAACAAATCTGTTCCGTCCTGTCCGCTATAGTGTTGCACCCAATGCGTGAGATCCTTGGGGGGGAATTTATCAAAATCTGGAGCAGTTGCCCATGGCAACCAATCAGCTTCTCTCTCTTCAGTTTGCTGAGGTAAGATTTAAAAATGAAAGATAGGTGTGTAGCGCACACGCTGGTGCTTTACCGTTCATTGTGTGGGGCACCCCAACAAACCTCTGGCGGGCTTTGTTATCCCTACCTGGTAATGCACCTCGTCTCTGTACTGTGTGTTGCTGCAACACCCGTACCGCAAATTGCATGCAATGCAATGATGCACCAATCACCGCGGCAACCATAAGGATGAATGGCGCTACACATGCACGTATACCATATAGCACAAAACCATGATGGGAATAATCCTTGTAGGGATTTGTACAATATGATCTTTTTTTTCTTTTTTTTAATTGAATTGAGACTTCTTTAGCGCATTTGACGTTTATTTGGCTAGCATTATGTGGAGGTAAGATTAAGTGGGTGGGGTGAAGGGTAAAGGGCCAGACAGCGTGTCTAGGGCAAAAGACCATAGACTGGTTGGAGGTGGCACTGGCTTGATCTTGTAGCAAACAGGATAGTCAAAACCTTGCAATTCGAGTGTGAATATTGGGCTGCTGAAGACCCGCAGGCTCCCATGGAGGGGGGGGGGCTCCTTCAATAACAACCTGACCAATGGGAGAGGGTGTTTTCTACAAAAAAGTGTAGCTGTAGCTTTAAAGGAGAACTATGGGGTCAGTGTTTTTCCCCATAGTTCTCCTTGGGGTAACGGGAGGACACAAACTAGCGTCCTCCCGTCACCCTAAGCTCAGTATACCGCGAGCTACAGCTCGCGGTATACTGAGACGCCGCACCTGGAGCGGATCCCGACTTAGATGACGGGATCCGCCCAGCTGCGTGAGTGACAGCTGGCTCTGCCTATCTAGAGGCAGAGCCAGCTGTACCCGCCCCCTCCCCCGTCCGTTCCGCCAGTCAGCGCTGGCAGATCGGAGCGGGGAGAGGGGAATCCAGGCCCTTCCCCTGTCACGGCAGAGAGCCGTGACAGGATCGAGAGGTGAGGGAACCCGGTATGTGTTCCCTCACCTCCCGATCTACTGAGCCGACCTGTGACAGTCTCATTGTCACAGGTCGGCTTAGAACTATGACGTGAGTGGAAATCACTCATGTCATAGTTCTCCTTTTTAATAGTTTGAGATTTCATAACCATTGCGTTGATGGATAATGTAAAAGGATCCCAGAAGGGGCCTACTCCTGAACAGAACCATGAATGCTAAACGATTCATTAGAAGTAGGTCCATATAGTCTACAGTGGGGGTGAGAGGGCCATGAGTGTGTTTAGAGAAGTGAGGGCAGGTAAGGTGACTACGAGCAGAGAGTAGGAACCATCACCAGGATCGGGGTCAGATAGGGTGAGGGGTGACTGAGGTGGAAGTTTGCCCAGTTGTATAAATATACTTGTATACAGGTTAGCCGTCTTGGTCACCTAATAGCAAAGGTGTTCCTCCAGGTGTTGTAGCTTACAGTATCCATTTGGTCAATTGGATGCACTGAGGGAATGTTATCTTAATGCGGATATTGTAACTTGTATACGGGTTGGCTCTCCTGGTCCCTAATAGCAAGGTGGTGTTCCTTGGAGTTGTAGCTTATGGTATCCATTTGGATACTCTTGAACAGGGGTCTCAAACCTCCGTCCCTCCAGCTGTGGTGAAACTACAAATCCCATGATGCATCTCTCTTCGGGAGTTATGTCTGTGACTGTAGTTGAAGCTTTTGGTATCCATTTGGTCAATTGGAGGCACTGAGGCAACGTTCTCTTAATGCAGATGTTGTACCATTTTGTATAGAGGTTGGCTCTCCATGTTCTCCTGGTCGCCTAATAGCACGTTGGTGTTCCTCTAGGACAGTGGTGGCGAACCTTGGCACTCCAGCTGTGCCAAAACTACAAATCCCAACATGCATCTGCCTCTGGGAGTTATGTCTGTGGCTGTCGGAGCCTTGCAATGCCTTATGGGACTTGTAGTTCCAAAACAGCTGGAGTGCCAAGGTTCGCCACCACTGCTCTAGGAGTTGTAGCTTATGGTAGCCATTTGGATGGTTTCAGTGAACATTCTCAATGCAGATGTTGTCATTTGTATACAGGTTGGCTTTCTAAGCCTTCCTGGTCACCTAATAGTAAGGTGGTGTTCCTCCCAGGAGTTGTAGCTTACGGTATCCATTTGGATGCTCTTGAGGGAACATTTCTGAATGCAGATGTTGTAATTTGTATACAGGTTGGCTCTCCTGGTTCCCTAATAGCACGGTGTTCCTCGGAGTTGACACTTATGGTATCCATTTGGATGTTCTTGAGGGAACGTTGTCTTCATGCAGATGTTGTGCAGTTGTAGCATTCCATACTAAGCCTGGCTAGACCAGGGGGTGCACACATGAATATGGAATGCAGGAGCCGATCTGTCCAATCCAGAAGCCAGCTCCATTGACAACTAGAGAAGACCTTGAAAGTTCAGCACCATCGGTGATTCCTCAGGTGGGTTGGCTGCCAGCCCTGGTCTACAATGTCTGTTTTCAGCTGTAGTTGCACAATCAAGGTTTGAGTAGTCTTTTATGAATTGACACTTTTGGAGTGTTCTAGATCAAGGTTTTGACTGAAGGCCTTTTTTGTAGGATGGCCAGGCAGCTTATGGTAAGGGTGGGCTAAGAACCAGTGCGAAGGACTGTGGACCCTTCTCAAATTACAACTTTTTCTTTTAAGGCCCCATTCCCACTGCGCGATATGCAAATCGCGCGTTTGTCGCGCGATTTGCATATTGCGCGACATCGCGAGATTTGCCGCGCGATGTTGCGTTCAAGCTTGCATTGAGCAAGCTTGAATCGCGGCTAAATCCGCTCCAAAAAGGGTCCTGCTGTAGCGACACACGACCCGCGACAGCAGGACCCTTTGCCCCATTGGATTGCATTGGAGCGCGGTAATTTGCCGCGATATCGCGGGAATTACCACGCGATAAATCGCTCAATGTGAACGGGGTCTTAGTTTGGATGGAGCGGAGAGGGATTAGAACCCTTCTCAGGTCTTTTTTAGTAGATAGTCTTTATTAAAGTTTTATCAATACATGACAAGAAGGCAAATCAGCCTGTCCCCGTCGGGGTACAGACGTAAACTTACTAAATACATCTTTAACAGTACATTACAAAAAAACAAAATTGTGTGGTATTTCCAAGGGTATCACAGTACAACATTACCACAATAAACAAAAGCAGTTGTTTACAAGACATTCGTTTGGGGTAACCTGGGTTTGACTGGCGATAAACTAGCGGGGGAGCCTCGCATTCTCCTAATGACATCTCAGGATGTTTTGAGTTTGAATTGGTTGGGATGGGACTACAAGAATCTAGAGGGGACTAAATTGAATCCGATTCTTGCTAGGAAGGATCAACAGGAGGCCTCAAAGCAAGACAAGGGAACATTAAGAGGACATTAAAGCAGATCTAGTGCACCTAGGGACCCATCTAATTTAGTGGTGTGATACCATACCGTATCCTTGAACAGTGTCATCACCTCTTTCAGCTGTGATGGTGATAGGGTTGACACTATAAATGAGGTCCAGGTGGTAAAGAATTTTTCTGTGGACTCTCAGGTCTTTATGTAGGTCTGTGTCCCTGTTAGGTAGATTTATCCTCTCTATATGTCCTGGTGACCATTATCACTGAAGGTGAAAGGAGATCCCAAATTTGAAATGGTCTTCAGAACAGGAATAGATGGGGTTTCTTCCGATGGGGATACAAGTTTTGGTGACCACCAGGGATATTCCTCACTTTTGAGGGATTTCCTCTCCTATTTTGGCTATGGGGCAGGAAGTGAAGGGAAATCTCCCAAATGAAACAAAGATGGGGGGGGGGGGGGGG